TAATTAATGAACATAAAAATTAATCCAATTTACCAAGATATAATCTAAGCATATACAACCTAATAAAAACCACTAATTTATTAATACTAACTAACCAAAATAAAAACTCAACAAAAAAATTAGTCAAGAGAAACAAAAGCATATAAGAATCCTTATTTAAAGCATATCTTACCATAGGGTTAGCGACTTCGGAGTATCCGGGACTCCGATCTACGATCCTAGAATTAAAAGGTACAACATACGAGAGTTTGAGTTCAATCCAATGGTCCGAACATATCAAACCCGGAAATCGCACAATAGGTGAAATCAGTTCGAGGCTCAAACGGTATCCAAATTGGAGTCTGAAGATACCTACGTGCTCATGACAACTAGGGGAACGCATCGGGACGCAATGTTCTTTTGCTACAACGTCCACACGCGCCGACAGTGCGTGGGTGTCCAAAGCGATGGGTCTGGTCTTTGGGCTGGCCATGGCTGGCGGTGGTGGTATGGAGGTTTGGAAGGGCACAGGTGGAGGAAGTGAGAAAGACTTGCGGGGGAAGAGAGAGAGAGAGAGAGAGAGAGAGAGAGAGAGAGAGAGAGAGGGTTTTTAGAAGTATTGAAAAAAACAGCGCCTTCTTCTAAATTTTCTTGAACTTGCTCTACAAAACAATTAATGCGTCGTGCAAGTTTGCAAATTTTTTGAAAATGTTGCTTTTTTTTTTTTCAGGGTTTAGGGTTCAGGTTTAGCGTTTGCACGACGTAGAAGAACCTATTATGTCACACAAGGAAATATTTCCATGCCAAAATTATCGCACCTTGCACAACATAGAAGAGCCTTTTACATTGCGCAAACCCTAAACCCTGAACCCTAAATCCTAAACCCAAAACCCCAAACCCTCAACCCGCGAAAATTATCGTACCTTGCGAGACGTAGAGGAACCTGTTATGTTGCACAAACCCTAAAGCTAAACCTTAAACCCTACACCATAAACCATCAACCTGCGAAATTTTTTTTTATTTTTAAAAGAATGAGTGTAAAAATTACTGAAGAATCATATCAAAAATTCTACAAGTATTGTGAAATAATAGAAATAATTGTAACCAATTGCATTTTTGAATGCAAATGCATGAAATCTACATTCTTGCATCTTGAACTCTTATTTTTGTACCACACATACTAATATTTAATTTTATAAAATGAAAACATTAAAACTTTTATGAATTTGATTTGTGATTGTTATTACATGCTAATTGATGATGAATTTTAGCTATAAAAAAAATTGATTTATAACATTAAGTCTTTGCAATTTTTTTTTTAATCATTTTTATATTAGATTATGTGAGGGCTCTAGTTTAAGTTTCAGCAGTGGATACCACAAAATCTTTACAGTAACATAATTAATTACAAAAAAATTCATTTACTATGTTTTACATTGCAAGTCGCAAATAAATTGTATTATTCATCATCGGAACTATAATAACCTTCGTTATCATCGCTATCATCACTTTCGGTCTCCCAATCCTCCTCCTCTATAACTACATCGCCGTCGTTGTTCGGGCCCACTGCAACATCGTATCGCAGAAGATCACCGAGGACAATTGTAATTGATTGAATCGGTATTTCGATTGAAGACACTCCTTATATCTGAAACGGTTCTTGTATAACATTTGTATCTCGAAGATTTTCTGCAAAAGATAACTTTTGTCACGACAAAAACTCATTTTCATCGCTCAAAATAACATTTTCGTCGCTCAAAATAACATTTTTGTCGCGCTTGTTGACAGCAAACTTTATGCGACGAGAAAGCGTTTTCGTCGCTAAACATTTCGTCGTGCCAATGACCAATATCGTCGCGCATGAACGTGTCGACATCTAACTTTACGCGACGACAGTGACAGTTCGTCGCCCAAGTATTTGGCGCCAAATAAAATAGACCCGCGTTTTTCTTACATTGGTCGCGCATGTTTTCTTTCGCGACGAAAGCTGTCGTCGTGCAAGTGTTTGGCACGAAATAAATAACCCCGCGTTTTTCTTGCTAACTCTGCGTGACGATAACGTGTATTCACGACGAACATTTTGGTCACGCAAGCTTAGAAATATAAAATTATTATCCGCGATAGTTTGAGCTTCGAATGAGTTCTTCTATTGCGCAAGTGTTTCTTGTGCGACGAATTTCTCTACGTCGCGCAAATCGTAAAACGTAGTAGTGGCAGTAATCCCTCATAGTAGAGGATAGCCACGTGGGTCATCCTTTTTTTGTTTTGTTTTTTGGACTCTTATCTTAACTGTATTTTATCTTGTAGCTCATGCATTGTGTTTTTAGATAAACACTAGGTAAACTTTGCCTTTCTTGTTTCCTTTCGAATCTTTGAACTTATTGCTCTTTATGCATTTTTAGGGCATGCTTGGTCTATAAATTGTTTTGGGGAGCCATGAATGTGAATTTTTTAGAGCTTCAGTTTTTAGCATGATGTAGTACGATTATGGAACTAAGGTATTTTCTTATTATGTTTGCTATTTTATAAGTATTAATCCAGCCTCTTGGAATGTATTTTGTAATTATAATCCGTCTAGTAGTCGTTGCCTCAATTTTTGTTTACGGTGAGTCAAAAGGATTTTGTCTGTATTTAGCTTATCATTGCAACTTGATAGATAAGGATAAATTAAGTGTAGCCAAATTGCCAATTGGACTTGAATTTTGACCATCTTTGACAAGTTCAAATTTACTTTCGACTGTCCCACTCTGGACATGTGAATCTGTAAATGGATGGCTTAGTCTTTTTGTTGTAGCATGTTTGAGTCTTTGTTATGGATTGGATGATTGGGTTCAGCTGAAAGACCAAATTTTTTTGATTCCTTTGTTTGATGTTGCTCCTTTTCGGCTCTGGCAATGTTACCAGCGTTGAGGTGCCTTTGTTTTTTTTTTTGGATGAATGTTAAATATAAAACCTTATTGTAATATTTTCATATACCATTCTGTTTGGTCAATCTACTGCAGAATATGCATGATTTCTTTCTAACAGTTTTTTTGTTTCCTGGGCATAGTTGCTATCTGGAGATAAGTTTACTTAGATGTTTTTTCTAGCAAATTTTAGGGGGTGTAGCTTCAATGGTTTTCTTCTTGGTTCTAGTTTCCTGCTTTTAATTAAGTAGTGTTTGCTCTTGTTGTTTAGTCAAGGACAGCTTGTCCTCTTGATTATCAATACAATCATTTCTATTCAAAAAAACAAAAACAAAAAGTTACTGTTTGAAATCTTCTAAAAATTGAAGTTGAATTCACTGTATTTTTTTTTATAGTATTTTTGTTTTTCTTTAGCTTCTTGTTGAAGATTTTATATAGTTTTTCTTAATCTTTATATACTCTTTTCATTTAATTTCAGTATGCGAGAAGTGGAAAAAAGAAGGGATTTTACGCCCAAATGGAATTGGACGAGGTTCGAGATGAATGGGCATGTCATGTGCTAGAGTGGATTTGAGTTTGAACATTTCCCTTCTTGTTTTGGTAGTATTTTGCTTATATATGTATGGATGATTGATGGATTTTGGTTTACTAGCAGAACTCATAAGTTTATATATATATATATATATGAATGTTTTTTGATGTTGCAATGGCAATATATATGAAATGGATGAGATGCCTCTATATTTTGAGACAGAAACCAAGTAAAATATGATGTGAAACATGGAAATTGCTTACAGTTTATTATTAAATATGATGTCTATTGTGTATAACAACCTTTGTTATGCCATAACAACTGAAGTTAAAAATTAAAAACAACATTAGCACTCTATGGGAACCGAAGCCTATAATCAAAAGGGGGTCAATAATATTTGTAGAAATTCAAACTATTTGTAGGCTTTTCACTTCAGCATAAGCGCAAAAAACGAATGAGTAAACCATAATTTGCAACAGCAGTGGCATCTTTTCTGAAGTCGTAAGTTAGAACACGCTTCAGTATAATCAAAACCCTTGATGCTATAACGAGTATTTAGCATTAGTGCTGATATATTCCCTAATGCTATTAAAGGTTTAGGCATCAGAGGTGAACGCTGTTTTGGCACATGGTAACTAGAGGCGGGCACGGTTCTGATTGGACTGGTTTTTGCCCCAAAATAGAACCAATCCGGTACTATTCATCCGATTTGGTTTGGTTCGATTTTAATTAAAAAAATTTCAAAAACTATTCGGTTCGGGTTGAACCAGTTTTGTTCCGGTTCAGTTTTGAATCGGATTATAAAAATTAATTTTTAATACAATTCTCAACTGAAATATTATTCTTATTACTTGAAAATTAACAAATTATTCAATTTCATATAAAAATAAATATTAAAGTTAGAAAAGAGAGATATTTTGAAATTAAACTTGAAAAAATATTAGTTTTTTTTTTATGAAATTAAAAATATAGCATTAAATATAAATATATATTGAAATTATATATTTTTCAATTTGACCAGTTCGGTTTGGCCTGGTCCGGTTTTTGAAGACATGGAACCGGATCCAAAACTGGTCCAAACCGATCCGGTTAAGTTTTTGACTGATTGTTGACTTTTTGGTCAACTCAATTTTTTTCGGGTCTAGTTCGATGCGGTTTGGTTCGGATTTCCAGTTCGCCGGTTTAAGTGCCCACCCCTAATGATAACAACTTATGCACGGCGATTAAGTGAATAGCGAAGTCATAAATAATCTTTAACAACGGATAATATCCGAAGCGTATGACTGTATCATACGCATCGTTTCCCAATACTTCGGTTCTTGGGTACCTTTAGCAACAGATATTATTCAAAGCTAAAATTCAATTTTCACATAGTGTAATATTGATTTACCTTCCTTGTATTGTTGATTCAGTTTCCTTGCACATCTATACTAGGGTTTTTAAATGTGTATAAATCTCTCATGTATCACACTTATCAAATCAATCCAAAATACAAGGTTTACATGATGCATTCAAATTTGTGTCTCCAATGCACACCCATCATTTTACTACATATAAATAAGCTTCAAATATCAATTGCCCCTTGTACATACAATATCGACTAAAATCCAATTTATAAATACTACCACAAACATACATTACACAAAATTAGTTGGAACAAGCTTGAAACTTCTTTTTGGTGCTGCCTCTTTAAGCTAGGATCAGATGCACTTGATGATCATCCAGATTCTGCTCTCCTGTGAGTGATAATTATGAACAACAAGGTACATGAGATGGGTTAAATATTCTACATAAAAATAAAAAAAAATAAAAATTTGAATTAGTAGGGAAAACAAAGACATTAGCAGGAAATAGTAATTCCCTAAATATTTGATGTACATGAGTTTGCATCACATATGGCGATTGGGATGCCATCTTTTCTGTGACGCCCTGAAACTTTGGTCACATGACAACAGTACTTGCCTCGAGAATCCCGAGAATACAATGCACAATCGCCATATCGACATACTGCTAAGCATTGCCGAAGTACGTTAAACTCTTTTGTTTAGTTAAAATGGGTTGGATAAGAATGTTATTGATAGTAGAAATTAAAACAAAATATTTCCATTACACCAACCCCAAAGTTACGAGTTTGTTATAGTATGATAACCACAAAGATAATTTAGAAGCAAAAGAGAGTTCGAAACAAAGGATAGATACAATAGAGTATACAAGGATTAGATCTTTAGTTACGGTATTACCTCTTTATTAAGAACTGCATGCTAATACCACTGCCATATAAGAAATCATATAAATATGTGAGTCGTTCGGGGAACAATGAAGTAAGCTCCTCTTCCACAACCTTTTTCTACAAAAAAAACATTGGTACGTTAAGATATGTTCTTATATATTTGTATGAAGAAGTTTAGAAAAGTAGTTGGTTTGATGTGCATACCAAACTATTTTGTTGTTGGAAATGATCGCTTATGTCTCTTGAGTACTTATGCACTCCCAGTGCATTATCCTCATATTTAGCTTTCTCATAGAAGTCCTTAAAAACTGTATCAAATTTGGACTTTGCAATCGTTGTTTTAATGTCAATGCTCTCGCTTGGGCCGTATTTATCCTTCCAAACACCCCTTTTCTTATTTTGAAGTGTGATGTGGGCAAGAATGGGGAAATAATATCTCTCATTAGGCGACATGAGTAGAGGATGATGCCATAAATCATCTAAAGCCACCCTGCAAATAAAATTAAATGATCCCATAAAAAAGTATAGAAATGGAAAGAAAAGAGAGAATTTTTTTTATTAAATAGTTCCCTTACTTTGGTTCGTCAACCATGAAATAAAAGTGTGTCAGCTCCACTCTTGTATTTTCCCCCTCCACGCTTGTATTATCATCCCCTCAAGTATGCTCTTAACCAAAGATCTCAATTTGCTCCTATAAGTTGTCAAATTCTCTGTATTGGATGAATTTGGAATGTCTTTGATATGTGCTCGATAAGACTTACGATCGATGCATATGTGATCAACTAGTGTCAAATCGTCAGGACAACTTTCACCTTTTTTCATCAATTCAGGAAGCTGCCCAATAACGTCCCTTTGAAAAGGATATAATAAAAATGTTAAGAAATATATGTATACATATATATAGTGGAGCTTCCTGATATATATATATATATATCTCGGAAACATATATAAGAAAAAAAGAAGTTAAACTGTATGAAACTCACCGAATAATATTGCGATATTTTTCTGCAACATAATTACCATCCCATGGTGAAGTCGCATCAGGACTCTTTAGCATCTCAGCTAAGGTATAATTGGAATTTGACAGTTCTCTAGTAGCAGGCTCAGTTCCTACTGCGGTTGTATCATCCTGGTTTCTAGAGACTCCTGAAGTAGAAACTACTTTTCTGTATTTTTGTAAGAATGGGGGAATATCAACAAGGTACATGAGATGGGTTAAATATTGTACATAAAAATAAAAAAAAATAACAATTTGAATTAGTAGGGAAAACAAAGACATTAGCAGGAAACAGTAATTCCCTAAATATTTGATGTACATGAGTTTGCATCACATATGGCGATTGGGATGCCATCTTTTCTGTGACGCCTGAAACTTTGGTCACATGACAACAATACTTGCCTCGAGAATCCTGAGAATAAAATGCACAATTGCCACATCGACATACTCCTAAGTATTGCTGAAGTACGTTAAACCCTTTTGTTTAATTAAAATGGGTTGGATAAGATTGTTATTGATAGTAGAAATTAAAACAAAATATTTCCATTACACCAACCCGAAGTTACGAGTTTGTTATAGTATGATAACCATAAAGATAATTTAGAAGCAAAAGAGAGTTCGAAAGTAACGATAGATACAATAGAATATACAAGGATTAGATCTTTAGTTAAGGTATTACCTCTTTATTAAGAACTGCATGCTAATACCAATGTCATTTAAGAAATTATATAAATGTGTGAGTCGTTTGGGAAACAATGAAGTAAGCTCTTCTTCCACAACCTTTTCCTACAAAAAAAATTGATATGTTAAGATATGTTCCTATATATTTGTAAGAAGAAGTTTAGAAAAGTAGTTAGTGTGATGTGCATACCAAACTATTTTGTCCTTGGAAATGAAGGCAAATCTTTCTTGAGTACTTATGCACTCCCAGTGCATTATCCTCATATTTAGCTTTCTCATAGAAGTCCTTAAAAACTGTATCCCATTTGGACTTTGCAATCGTTGTTTTAATGTCAATGCTCTCGCTTGGGCCGTATTTATCCTTCCAAACACCCCATTTCTCATTTTCAAGTCTCCAGTGGGCATCAATGGGGAAAAAATATCTCTCATTAGGCGACATGAGTAGAGGATGATGCCATAAATCATCTAAAGCCACCCTGCAAATAAAATTAAATGATCCCATAAAAAAGTATAGAAATGGAAAGAAAAAAGAGAATTTTTTTATTAAATAGTTCCCTTACTTCATTTCGTCAACCTTCAAATAAAAGTGTGTCAACTCCACTCTTGTATTTCCCCCCTCCACGCTTGTATTATCATCCCTCTCAAGTATGCTCTTAACCAAAGATCTCAATTTGCTCCTATAAGTTGTCAAATTCTCTGTATTGGATGAATTTGGAATGTCTTTGATATGTGCTCGATAAGACTTACGATCGATGCATATGTGATCAACTAGTGTCAAATCGTCAGGACAACTTTCACCTTTTTTCATCAATTCAGGAAGCTGCCCAATAACGTCCCTTTGAAAAGGATATAATAAAAATGTTAAGAAATATATGTATACATATATATAGTGGAGCTTCCTGATATATATATATATATATCTCGGAAACATATATAAGAAAAAAAGAAGTTAAACTGTATGAAACTCACCGAATAATATTGCGGTATTTTTCTGCAACATAATTACCATCCCATGGTGAAGCCGCACGAGGACTCTCTAGCATCATAGCTAAGGTATAATC